CACGGAGTTTTCCTCCGTGGCATCGCAACAATTACTCCATTCACACACAGACGAAGGCAATGGCAAACCACTTCTGGATCATCTGCCAAGAACGTATATGAACAGGTCCCAGTCCGAGAAAAGGATGGAAGGATCCTGTTCATATGGACCTGTCGTCAGACAGAACACTAAATAATAATAATAATAGTAATTATACCTGGGTAGACTTCCAAGGTAGTGGTAGTATCTTGGGTGAATCTCACATAACATGGATAAATTGTATGTAATGAGAGATAGGAGGGAAGTAGTAGTGCCACGGATGAATCGCTTATAACATTGGTAATTGTGCGTAGATATAGATGTGAGGGACATGGTGGTGTCTTGGATGGATAAAGTATGGTATGGTTTGACTAGGATCCATGAGGGTGCATTATCATAAGTCACCAGTAATGTAATGCATATGTAGCCGATGTTTTAATAGAAATTATGATGGTCCGCTTTACTTGTAGATTCATATATGCATGACATGGTGCAGGATATGATGGAGTGCATATTCATAATATACAGGGGCAACCACAGATAATACGCAGGTACAAGGTAAGTATAAGTGTTGCTGATAAATTCATTTCTTGAGATTGGATAAAATTGTTAGATATTGTCATCCTAAGTAGTCTTTGATATGACTTGCGTCATCGTAACAAGATGTCACTGATCATTACTGCAATCATTGACTAGAAAACAAAATTGTGTTAATGGTACTGAAGTTTTTGCATTGCAGAAATGTATTTAAAGAAGTGAACGTTTGAGTGCAACTTTTGTTCTGATGTGGAGTAGTCAATGACAAACCAGTCGCCTGTTAATGCTATCAGAGCCAACTCCTGAAACACTCTACGAGTCACCGAGACAAATGTAATTTAATAACATATCCTAAATGCAAATAAAAAAAGGAGTTTGACTGCAGTTTTTGGATATATAGTATGTTTGGGAGACAGACACTGAAAGGCTTAATTTCTTTGCAGTTTCTAGATGTAAACGTGATGAAAATATGAAGTGTTTCTGAAACTATTCTTCAGGAAATGTTAATCTGTTTATAAATCAGTGCCTAGGAGGATTTTGTCTTAGTACGAGAGATCATAAATGTGATTTTACCACCAGGCCGGTACACGAGTATGGTAAATGTATCTATATACAATAGATTCCGGTTAATGGGTCGATGTGTCGCAGTTAACCGGAATCCAACGTATTCCACCGAGGCTTGGGTTAAGGTACGCCTGTTCTCGCAGGTTGATTTAGAAGATTTGCGAAGTGGATGGAATGCGTGACCTTCCAAGCTAAAATCTTTTTCAGAATTCGATTGCGCCCGATAGGGTCTCTGCTGTCACGCGTGTGGATGAATGTTTTATCTTTGCCTTTCGTGCTCCGCGTAAATTGGCAGGTCGCCAAATATGAGTTTACCTCGGGAGTGTTTCACATTTTACTTGTTCTTGCGCTACAGTTGAACTGGGACATCTCCAGTCCTCAGGTATGTTGGGGTCTCTAATGGGCCGCATTGATATCAGTTATCGCCTAGCGCTTCATAATTCTCTGAATTCTCATTTTCATTCTGCCA